TAATGTGATATGATAAAGATATTTAACATTTCTAATTAGATTTCTCATTATGTAAATGTATAATTATTTAAATCGATCAAATTAAAAAGTAGATAAAATATTCTTAAGAACTGCCTTTGCAGAATTTAAATCTCTTATTTTGTTACTCAATAAGAGCAGATTAAATATGAAAGATAAATATCTTACACTTTACTGAACGGCAATATGCTGGTCCGTGGAAGTAATAAGTATTCTATTTGAGGCAGTGACAATACATTGCTTTTAAATAACCGAATTTGTCGATTAATACTGAAACATAAATATCTTACATTTTGCCGAACGGCAACAGTCTTGCGCGTCACAGCTACAAATACTTCATTTCGAACAGTGTTGCCACGATTCGCCTTTAAATTGCTAAGTTTTTTAAACAAAAATTCATTAAATTCGTGTAAAATGTGAAATAAAAAAATTGAAATTGAAAATTCTGGCTTCGATGTGCTCATGTTTGGACGGCAGACTATGTGCATGCAAAATTTGGTGTGTCTAGGTGCATTGGATTTTCCACAATGTAAGGAGCATAAAACATGCATACAGTCTTTACTAATATTAGTAGAAATATTAGAGACAATACACTGTAAGAGGCAACAGCATAATTTTTTCTGGATGGAATTTTCTTAGTAAAAACATAGAAAATACTGTTTTTCAAGTGTTGAAGAGCTGAGAGAAGAAAGATTTTGTAAATATTTCATTTACAAGGGTAGTGTGCTTCATAACAAGCACTAATTCTTTAAATTAAGCAACTTTTACTGCGTATAAATAATATATTCTGATATGCAGCATTCAAATCTTCCATTTAGCCTAATATACATTCATTTTTTAACACATGCAAAGAAAGAATGATTAAGGATTTGAATGCCCATATAAGGGATGCTTGCGAAGTAGGCGCAGACAACTCCTACCTGCCCGTGAATGACGCAAAATGCAAACGACCGAGCGACCCTATTTTTTTCACGGTTACGGGCTCAGTTACGAAAACCTTGAATTTCGAACACTTAATATTCCTGCAACAGTTGGTAACAGATGTTATTACTTTAGCGTATAATTAACTAGGGGAACTTAACTATTACTTAAGATGGATGCTATGTAACAAATAAAGGTGAAAGAAAAGCACTCATAAATAATCATTTTTCTGACATTTTTATTTTTCGAATTATCTGTGCTATTAAATAATGAAAAATCTGTATGCATGTAAACTGTATGTTCCTCGCATTGTGGAAAAACTACGGCACCTGGAGTCATCAAATTTTGAATAACACACAATCCTGCACCCGAACATGGAAGCCCGAACTTTGACTTTCGAACCTATTTTTTTTATTTATTTCACATTTTGTACAAATTTAATTCTTGATTAAATTTTTTAATTAAAATGTTTGATTAAGAAACTCACAAAAAAAATTAAGAAATAAAAGATTCTTTTTGATTTGACTCATAAAAAAATGTAGATTAAGAAATAAAAAAAATTGGGGGTTAACAAACATAGCGAATAAGGCTAGCATTGGCAACACTTTTCGAAATAAAATCTTTTTGTCTCCAGCGCACCAGACTGTTGTCACTCAGCAAAACGTAAAATATTACTTTTAATCAACAAACACGGCTGATTAAACGTAGTGCGTTGCCACTGCTGAAATACTTTTATCTTCCTCGCTTAAGTATAAGATATTTAACTTTCAGATTTAACGTGTGTGTCATTGAGTATCAAACGAAGCAGTTTTAAAGCAATAAACGTAGTTCTTATGAAGATACTTTTTCTACTTTAAATAAACATCTACTTTAATAAACATGTAGTATCAAACGAAGCAGTTTTAAAGCAATAAAAGTAGTTCTTATGAAGATACTTTTTCTACTTTAAATAAACATGTACTTAGATTATGAGATGTCTAATTAGAAGTATTAAATATTTTTTCCTGAAATAATATTAGTTAGACTCATTAAAATCATTATAATTTTCCTTCTTTTTATGGTAACTATTCTAAGCGAACAGCCGCTTTTAGGCGAATGGAATACTAAAAAATTTCATGTCAGTCAGTCATGAAAATAGTAGCATATTCAAATAGCCAAGAAAATAAAAATTAGGTCAAAGTAGTCATAAAAATGAAATCTTCATAAGCAAACTCAGCAATTTAAAAGAAATGTGTTGCCACTGCTCGAAATAAAACACTAACAATATTTATCTTCTACGCACCTTATGTTGCCATTTGGCAACTCATAAGATATTAAGGCGTTAACTTTTCTTTCAAATTTAATCTGTCTGTCGTTGATTAACAAACTAAGCAATTTAAAAGCAATAAACGCAGTTCTTTATCTCCAAAATTATTGATTACTAGCGGAACACATTAAAATCATTATATACTATTTTCACAATAGCCGTGTTAGTAGACTGACCGCACAAGCGACTAGTACTATTAAAAATGTCTGAAATTAAATTGTACATTGCATTCTTCATCAGTTTTTCACAGCAATTATAATCAGTTGAGAATACGTACTGTAAATTATAAAATATTTCTTTCAAACAAGTTGTAGAGTCATTAGGTGGGTTTTTTTTGTGTGTGTGTGGGGGGGGGAAGCAGGAAATATGAAAAATTGGTGTGCCCTTGCCGGTACTCGAGCCCTACACCTCTCGAACACGCGTCGAGTATGCTTCCAATTACACCTCGAAAGCATGTGCGCCTAGGAGGGAGACAATACCTTACATACTTCACCTTCTGAAAGACATTAGGGGACCCAGTTGCCAAATCCTGGTGGTAAAAATTTTTTGTCCTCCATGGTTTAGTTCGAGTGTCACTTGTACAGTTAAGACTTTTTGTATTAAGATTTTTTGACTTATTTTAAGATTTTTTTGACGCGGGAAACGTGAAAAATGTGCAGTGCCCTCGCCGGGACTCAAACTTGGACCTCTCCAATACGCACCAAGTGTTCTACCGTTGTACGGCGAAGTCTTGCTGGAAGGAAAGAGACAAATAGAATACAATATATTAAACATATTCATTTTCATATTTGCAACATTTGTTCGGGGAATAAGTTACAGTGAATGCTCTTTAATCAGCATTTTTATTCAACTGTAAATATTTGAAAAATCATTAGGCAGCATCACTTTTAGTGGAAATTGAAAGAATTCATTTTCATTGCTTTTTAGCCCAAAGGGACATTAGATCCAACGGTCTATTTGTCACAAAACGGCATTTGCTTCCTTTCACTTTCTGCGTTAGTTCACATTTCAAACTGTCACCACCAAATATTATCGCTATGTATTACAGTATTTAAAGAAACTGGATAATGAAGACTCTACATGAACGCATGAGTATTTCTCGCATTGCAATGGTACCTAGAGCCAACATGGGCACTTGGAAGCCCAAAGTTTTAGTTTCGAATTTGTTTCATTATCTTTTTCAAATTTTCTAAACTTTAACGAATTTTTTTTATTAACAAACATAACGATTTCAAAGCGAACAATGGCAACACTGTCAGGAAGGAAACATTTTTATCTCTAGCGCGCGAGATTGTGTATCGGAAATTCTAAAGATACACTGTTTTGCTGTTTTTAAATATTTTATAATATTACTGTTGAACTGAATTTTATGTGGTTTAAGTGCAAAGAACATGATATTTAGTAAATAAAGGTAACACCCAAAACGTTATAATAAAAAGACACAAATGTTTTGTAAGCCATCTCGCAAAGAAAACTGAACTTTGATATGATTAACTGAGAAAAGAGTGAAGGAAATAGAAAATATATGCCAACACTTTAACACTGCATCGCGAATCCTAAGCATAAGCTACACTACGGTGCTTTCGAAAAATTTGTGATTTTGCTGTTAAATATGGCGTAGTGTGAAGAGTAACGATGTTTAATAATAAAGCTTTAAAAAAATATGTTTTAACAAAAGTGAATACAACAGCAAGCTAGTAGACTGCGAGCTCAGCGAGAGCGTAAAAAAAACCTTAATAAACCCTTTTGGTGACTGTTAAAATCTGAAAAATTTCAGAAGTTTTTAGTTTTTCTTTAAATATTTTGTGAGTTTTCTGCTGAAGTTTACGTGAGTGCCAAGAAAGTGACATTTCATAAATAAGGTTTAAAAAACAAAACGCCAATAACAGAGAGACAAAAAATTTGTGATGTCATCTTACTAAGGAGACTGAACATTGGCACAATGAATGGAGGAAAGACTGAAATACAATTAATGACAACACTTGACACTGCATGGAAAATTCTATACGTATGCTGCTTTAAAGAATTTGTGATTTTGATGTTGAATTTTATGTGGCAAAAGTGTGAAGAAAGTGATATTTAATTATAAACTTTAAAAAAATGTATCAGCGAGAATGAGTCCAAGAGCAGATTGATAAACTGCGAGTTCAGGAAGCGCATAAAAAACCTTAAAAAATCTTAACAACATCAGTATCGGAAATCTTAATCTCTAGTGGGACATTAAAATCTGAATCCTTCTAGTTTTTTTTCTTTCCCCCTCCTTTTTTTCATTTCATTTCTTTCTTTTTAAATTTTAAAAGCAAATATAGTTTTAGCTGCAAATCTCGGCATTTTTACAAAATTCCCTTTTCATTTTGATTCTTTTTTCAGTTTAGGTCGTAAGCGACATACTAGCGAACAATAGTAGTACAGAGTATGATAAAATTGGCTGAAACAGATTCATGAAAGAATGTTAGGAAAGAATGACTAAACAAATGTGAAGTAAATAAAGGTAAACATAAATAATATTTCGCTATCTCCAGTGCTCTTAGATCAGTATAAAATCTAGTGTAATAAATAAATTATTTCTTAATTACTAATCATGACAGTTCTAGATGTTAGTTTCATGGAAAATTTGAAACGTATTTCGAGCGAGAGTGACAAGAGTCTCCTTTGTTCAAGAAGCAAAATTATTTGCCCGAAGTACGTCATTAAACAGATTAAAAAGTAACAGATGAAAAGTAAATAGTACTAGAGGAAGAACTTTTTCATTTACCTTTATTTCACTTATTTAAGCAGTAGATTTCAGTGTGATAGAGCAGAGTCGTTCTGCTCCTTGGAAAAGGAATACCGATATCATCTCACTTGAAATGCAGATTTTCTCTCGGGCGCCAAAAATTCTCTAGCATTTTCCATTTCTCTAAATTACTGAAAGGCGTATACATTACATTAGAAAAATAAGTTACATTATTTGATGGCATATACATACTGGAAGTCATAAGTTACATATAAGGGCCAGATACGGTTACAATTGAATATAGGGATCAAAAAATAAAGAATAAATAAAAAATTATAAAATTGTCCCTGTGTAAGTAACTATACCTAAAATGCCTCCAAATTTGGCGGCAAAAATTAGTTGCCAAAACCATCACCATCTCGCCAATTTAACGAGATAGCCATTTACATCATGTTAAATAGACATGCCCCTGTAGTCTTATTTTTCTGGCATAGCATATTCTCTTCAGACTTTTCATGTTACATTATACAAAATATACTACAATTTCACTTGTAATTTCATTAAATTTATTTACATATATGCAAAATTGATAACAATAGGATTATTTTATGAAATCGAATTAATTATTTCGCCGGGTTATCGCTATTATTTTCTACTAACCAGTTATTTTAAAATTTGGACCTTTACTATCACTTCTCGTTTTCGTTTCCCTACTAGAATGGTAGTATTTAAAGGAAGGTTTCGGGAGTTTAATTCGGAGCGTGTTCTGCCTCTCACGGCCAAGTTACTAGGTTAGTTAGCTCAGAAAAGATTGCATTATGCGGCTTTACATTATAGTTGTCGATATTTAAATTGTTACATCGGCAAGAAGTTTTGAGCCAACTTCGCATTCATTTGAATTGTGTACTCTTGGACTACTATCTTATTTAATTCAAATTTCACTGTTATTTTAAGTTATCTCGCCACAAGTGGTTGGCGGAGTTTGTAAGCACGAGTCATGCGTTTATGTTCAAAGTTCTGATTTAATAAAAAGTTTGTTTTGAAATCTTCGTAAGACTTTGTAGTTCTGTCCAGACATAGTGATAATTGTCTGGACTTATTCCCATGCTTAACATTTGTTAGCAGTTTGATATCTGTTTATATACCCAAGTAAGGCAAACTTTAGAATTTTCTCTTCATTTCTAACTGAAAAAGTTTGATTGGTATACCTCAAGAATCTGGAACGGATTAATGACGAATATTAGATACCACTGTATTTAGTTTTATACTTTGTTTGATAACTTACTTCTATTTTAAAATTGCAATTAAATAAGTCGAAATGTTAAAAACTATGATAGAATTTTCGGTTTAGAATTACTCCCTTTGTTAAACAAAATTAAAAATATTTTACACATACAACAGTTTTAATTCACAAAACATTTATATCTGTACACTTTGAAATGTTCTCAGCGCCAACACCCACTCAATTAAGAAACATATTGTGTTTTCTAAACCTCAAGAAAAGAATTTTTCGCACTCAAGTCAAGGATCGATATATTCAGTCTCCATGCAGTCTAGTTTATAGCAAAAGTGTAAAAAAATCGCAAATCTTCTGCTCATAAACACGGTTTTGGAACACAGCCGGCCGAATCGTTGCTAGACGTCGGTCATCGAAGAAGCCCAGGCTGAGTCACGATCGCCTGAGAGCCCGAGATTTTCCCCATATGGACGCCTCGAGTCTTTGTAGTCTAGGGGCGGTCTCTTCATTGCGTTAATGTTGGAGAAGGATAACTACAGCAAAACGTATGGGTCAAACAAACAACTACAGCAAAACGTATGGGTCATATTTTGCCTCCAACTTCGAGACCTTGAGTATCAACGTTTGTTACATAATTCTGTCGATAATGTGTGCCTAAAATATGTGCGAAAATATAATATTTGTGGTTATTCACTGCTGTACAACTCATGTGACCTATTAACTCCACTTTGTGGCTGACTCCTTGCAGTATTTCATTTTGAAATTTAAGCAGTCTTAAGATATTTATAATGCTTACAAAAGAAAAATAACTGAATAAAAAAAATTTAATTCAATTATTAGCACCAGAGTTGCTATTAGCTTCGAATCTCACTTTTGTGATAGTATTACGTTTCAAATATTGACACCAATAGTGGAAGCCATATATTATTTTGAATGAAATAATACAGCGAATGAAACAAAAATGTATGGCAACACAAATAAAAGGATATCGCCATCACATATTATCTCTATATGTATGACGTTTAATAATAAAGCGGATATAGATAAAAAATGCATGCTAAAACAAATAAAAGTATGTTGCCAATTAAGTGTCATTGACATGTATTATTTATAAAGAAATAATACAGCGAATATAACAAAAATATATGGCAACAGAAATGAAAGGATGTTGCCACCAAATGCTATCTCTATGTATTATTTTTAAAGTAATAATATAGCTGATGTGTTGTGCATTAACAGAGCTAAAACGTTCTGAGTTCGCTATATTCCCTATGAAGCGCAATTTCATTAAAGAATGAAAGTCAAACAACTATGAAATCTTTATTTTACAAGTAAGAGAGAACAAAAACTAAATTAACAATCTTCACAGACATTTAAAATTGAAAGAAAACTTGCATAGACTCTTCATCAGTAACAAACATCTTCAGACTTACTTATTTGGCGAAAATTGCAGGAGTATATCGTAAGACAGAAGGCGACATGGCTGTAAGAAAAAAAAAAAAAAAAAGAACTCGAAGATTGATACTCTGGTACATATACAAGGCAGTTAGGTACTCTGGCTGATATACAAGGCAGGTACAAGGCACAGGGTGAATCCTTTCTTGCCAATATATACCTAGGCGTACGTTTGATTTCTGCTTCATTAATGCAAAATAGAAATAATATAGCAAATACAGAAAATATATGGCAACGTTTAACACTTTATTGAGAATTCCAGAGCCATCCGATATAAAAATACTTTTAACAGCATGTACCAGTTTGTTGCCATTTTTCAAACAGTAAAATATTTAATTTTTCTCTAAAATTTAATCTCTTTGTTATGAATCAACAAACTAAGTAATTTAAAAGCAATAAACGCAGTTTTTTAATTTCTGTTATAAATTATTAGCTGGACTCGTGAAATGACACTAGCTGGATTTATTAAAAGCATTACATATTTTTTAAATCTTTTTTATAGTAGCTATTTTAGGCAGCAGAAACGCCGACGACTAGTTATTTGAAAAGTGAAACGGTCAACAAAACTGATGGGGTGTAAAGTGAGGTAGGAGAGCATTATCCCTTTTGGCTAAAGCATGCATGGCAGCACTTAAATACTGTAACAAGAATTCTAAAGATTGGCTGTTTTAAAAATGTTGTGATTTTCTGTTGAATTTTATGTGGCGTAAATGCCAAGAAAGTGCTGTTTCGTGATGAAGTTAAATAAACAAAAAAAAAAAAAAAAAAAAAATTGCATCATTAGGAATTAGTCCGAGAGCAATAGGTAAATTGCGATGCGACATCAACGATAGCATAAAAAGCATTAACAGACGCGACATACCTGAATATCAAATTTGGTGCAACATACGTGAACCTTCTCAGATTTTCTATTTTTTGCTTAATTTAGGTTAAATCCAAGGAACTAATTCCATTTATCCTACTATATATAAAAGTCGAACTCATAACTCAAAAACGAGTAGCCGTGGAACCTCGAAGTTTTGTATATGGGACTTCTATGACATGTAAATATGCACCTCCTTTTTTTTATTGCCATCGGCTGCACCAAACATACATACAAGGTGTTTCTGTAATTCGGTAACAAACTTTGAGGAGAGATAGAGTGCACCTAAAAAATCACATATTCTTTCATTTCTTGTGTTTTGTGTCGTCACTACCGCGGCAGGAAAGCGTTTCCGACTATGCATTGCTATGTGATTTTCCATCGTCTAGGTTACTCGACCTTTTTTGAAAATTCGTAATTAAATTGCTGAAACACCCTATAATATTTTATATACTATATTCCCACCCTGTTAACGGCTCGGTGAGCTCAGTATTTTTATTCTTATATGTTAGGAAGTTGTGTATTTTTTGCTTTAAAAGCTGTTATATTGCTTTTAAGTTCCGGCTTAGGTTTTCATGCCCTTAGTTTAATCTGCTTGCAGTAGTTGTTGAATTATCATCAATTTAAAAGGGTAAGTAGCGCTAGGCCACTAATTTGGCATCTGTTTGTTTAATTTGAATCTCTTAGTAATATAGTGAATTATGTCAGATGGTGCACGAACTTATCTTTTTACTCGCTGATACCAAATGTTAACTTTCAATTTTGTGTACCGAAAATTTTTCCTTCTTGCCCGCTGGTCGCTGATTGCTTGTTTTTCCCTAGAAACAAAAAAACCATTAACTGTTTTTAACTGTATTTGGTGTTTTAGGTTTTTCTGTATTTTAAAATTTTTTATGAAATTGTTTTGAGTATCATGTATTTTTGCCTTACCGAAGTGAGAACTGAATTCATTTAATGAGAAATATATCTCTAACGAAATTCGAGGAAATAAGTTTAAATGAATTGTTACAAAAAATGTGTATAATAAGCCGTACAAGGAAGTCGTGTGGTGTCCATATCAGATTTTTTATTCAATGGGATCTTGATTATACCAATCAATTACTGGTGTATATCTGGGTATCGACCTATTGATACTCATAAACCCTTTCTAAAATTTCATCGACACACCAGGGCTTTAATACGGACCCCACTGGAAAACCTCTGCCTTAGATTATGGCAAAGCACCAATGGTTGGTTCCCCTAAGAGAAAGACACCTTCGTGGGGGGGGGGGAACCTTCTAAAAGAAAATTTGTATTTCACTTTATGCATAGAGGAAACTATGAAAATTCTCATACAGCCAGTCCGTTCGCTGGAATTCGATTTGTGACAAAATACCAGTGATCAGCGATTTTTACCGCTGTAACGCTGGCGAGTTAACTCTTCTTTTGTAAAAACCAGCATCATAGAATATATAGAATATATATGCTTATCGCAATAATAAAATACATATGCTCATCGCTAACAATAGAATATATATGCTCATCGCAGAAACACGTGGCAAGATCAGTCTAAAATAGTTCTCAGCAGGTTCTTAGTAGACCCTTACGAAAAATTTTAAAGAGGGTATGTGATGATCAAACGGTTGATAG